CCCCCCCAGAAAGAAATTGCTTCTGACAATTAGACTTGTTTGTCACCATGTCGCTTAGTGGCGACTTTGGATGGTTTACAAACATTGCTAATAAAAAATTGAGGCAATAAATACTCAGTAATAATATATAATTAAAAAAGATGGGTAGAAAGGGAACAGGATGCACATAAGGAGAATGGGGTCTGGTTTAATCTGTCAGCTACCTCCAGCACAATGCACCCCCATTGGGACCCCAAGCCAACTGGCAGAGCCAAATTTTTAGGCCCTTACAAAATGTAAGAGGGTGGGTGCAGATCTCTCCGGAGGGGGCACAATTCATTCCAAAGGACAGGAGTTACAACAGAAAAGGCTCTTCTCCTGAACCCTGCCAGCTTAAATTTCTTGACTGAAAGGATCCGCAGCATGCCCCTTATGCCAGTACTGGCAGGACGGCGCAATGCCATTGGGCTAAGATGGTTCCTCAGATAGGCAGCAGCATCCTTCCACCCCTTCTGGCACTAGCTTTGCATTTATGCAAACTTAACTAAAGAGGGGGGATTTTTTTCCCTTATCTACTTATTGAGCCAATACACAGGTACTACTTTATCTGATGATCAGCCTTTTCACGCTGTCAAATTTATTCATACAATATAATCTTTACTAAATGATATATTACATTAAGGTATTAAATTATAGTGGTGTATTAAATTATGGTAATGATCTAGTAAAGAATCATCTGAACTTTGCACTCTCTGCTGAAGAGGAAACTCACACAATGGACCAATGTAGGACACAAGCTTTAATTTAGGAGCTTTTCTATATTATTCTTTATTGCAGCTAAAGTAAATATAGAGATCTGTAGCAAATACACAAATCAGAATCAGAGGGTCTGAACCATAGCTGAGTTCCTCACAAAAATGATTCAGAAGTCCTTGAGATCTGGTACTTTTGGGCTATTCATCAAGATTCACACATCTTTTTTTCTGGCTTATACTGATTTGGGAAATGAGATGGCTGCTTTAAGAGGCATTTAAAAGTACCCACATGTTTTCTTTTCATGCTCAATATCTTGCAGAAAAAAAAGCTCATACGTTCTATTAAGCACAAAAATCCCAGTCTTGTAACTGACTTTGTCTGATTCTGAAAGATGATGCTATATTGAATCTGATGTGTATCTAGACAGAAAATCGTCAGGAACCAAAAAAACTCCCAGAAAGCAATGGCAACCATTTCCCCTATTATTGCTGAGAAAATAACATGGATATATTCATGCACTCACCATTTGATGGAGCTTAGGATTATATTGCAAACATATTTGTGACACAAATCATTAATTTATCATGATAAATAATTTAACAATCTCAACGCGTTAGATGTTGCTAACAGTTGATAGCTTTCTCTAGGATCCAGTCCGAGTATAGTGCCCAGCTCTCTTCCTCTTCACCTGCGTACAGGGATTTCTCCATCTCTTGCTTCCATTCTGGTTGGTTGCCCCCCCCCCCGTCTCAGGGTCACCTTTCTTGATTTCTTTTCCCATTCCCCTTTCTTTCCAACGCCCATTGACCACCGAGGTTTGTGGTTACGTGTCTCCACCACCTCTTCTCCTAAGGAATCTGACCTCTCAGATCCCGACATCTGGCAGGGTGTCAGTCGGGGCAGCGGCTCCTTTTCCAGGGAGATTTCTCCCTTCCCTGCTCCATCGTCTGACATCGTAATTTTTGCAAAGTCCCCCAGCAAGGTTCTCCCTTCAAAGTGGACTAATTTTTCAGGTCCTGTAAGGACCCACCCCACTTTACATCTTAAGAAGACAAAACTCTTGGAATATCTCTTCCAACAGGCATCTTTATTAAGAGAAGATGGTTGCAGGAATTCTAAACAGGACCTGAGGGACCAACTCCTACCATTCAAGGTTTTAAGTGTTCCCAAGTAGCCCCCATAGTAGATGAAAGCTGATGGCCATATTGTTATGGTCAGTCCTCTTGGTGAGATCCACATTCAGTTTCTTTGAAGTTTTAATGAAGGAAGTGAGAGCCATAAAACCCCTTTGCTCATCCCCCTTCCCCTTCGTAGTATGACAGAATCCAGAGAGGGCAGAAATGGGGTTTTCCATAGTCAATAACTAGAAATGAAATATAATTGGATTCTGACAGATGTTCAGTTTTCGGTATAAGAAGAAATTCTAATTAAAATAGAAATTATATTTTATCTGATATGCATCAATACCAAATAGGTATCACATCAATAATATATAAATCCATTTCTTGAAATCTTTTGATTGAATGATTGCTTGGACTAAACCTAACCTCCCTTCCTCTCTAAGTTATAAATACATGTTGTATGCTTTGCAATGAAATTTTCCAGTCTTAAAATGAAGCTGCTTATGCCTGCTAAGGTTTTCTGTAATGTTTAAGATACTTTTGAAATGATGGGTTATTTGGGTCTTTGATTTATATTGACAAGCAATGAACAAATCCAGAATAATTAACTCAGTTTGGGCTTGCCATGAGTCCATGGAGCTGTATGGGGAACATTTTCATCACATGCATCATCCATATCTGTTCTGGCCTATTGCATTCCATGACCAAAGCAACCCAGAAAAGATTCAGAGAAGGACAAAAAGGGTGATCAAGGGTTAGGAACTAAATCCTAGGATCAACAGTTAAGCTACAGTGAGAGTTCAGACTTAAGGAAGATAAAAATGACCATGCTCTTCACATACCAGAAAGGGTATTAAACAAAGAACATGGCTTGGCCATTTTCTATCTTCCCAGAAGGCAGGCAACAGAATAAAATATCTGAGGAGCTGTCACAGAGAAGGGGGGGGGGTCAACCTATTCTTGAAGGCACTTGATGGCAGGACAAGCAGCAATGGATGGAAACTTAACAAAGAGAGATCCAATCTAGAACTAAGGAGAAATTGCCTGACAGTGAGAACAATTAATCGGTGAAATGGCTTGCCTCCAGAAATTGTGGATGCTTCAACACGGGAAGTCTTTAAGAAGAGATTGGACAATCATTTGTCTGAAAAGGTATAGGGTCTCCTGCTTGACCAAAGGGTTAGACCAGAAGATCTCCAAAGTCCCTTCCAGCCTTGTTATTCTATATTCTATGAAGTGACATTCAGCTGAATATTAGGAAAATTGTCTTGTCAGAAATAACAATTTATTGCAATCACTATAAGACACGGGTCTCAAACTCACCACATCACGTGACATATCGAGACTTTTTTTGCATTGCCAGAGCTGGGGTGGGCACGACCTTTGTATGATGCAACTGGCCTGTGGGCTGGCAGTTTGACACCCCTGCTATAAGACGAATGTAGTGTTTGGCAACTGAGCACATGTTCAAATTCTCACTCAGCTGCAACTTTTGTGAGCAGACTAATCAACCTCCATAGCAGACTTTGCTGTGAAACTGAATTTATAAAAGCAAGGTAGAGAGAAAAAGTACATAGAATTTCATTTGTTCTCAAGTAGTATTCAAAAATGCCAGTTCTACCTTTTCAAGTACTTATACAAATATAACTAGTACTAGGCAATAGATGCTCTGAAATAGTAGTATTATTATTACATTTTCATTTAATAAGAGAATATATAAAAATACATCATATCCCCAAACAATTATTTTTAATGTCACAAATCAATGCTATAAAATGCTTCAAAAGATAATGTTTCCTCTGGCTTTGTCTCCCGCTGACCTCACAGATATGTCTACAGGGGTTTTGGACAGTTACCGCAATTAGTTTGTAAATGCCTTCTTTCAGGCTGTTATGGACTTCCTAGTCTAGCCTACAATTTCAAGAATCCTTGGGTGTTTCCTACTCAAATATTAACCAAGCTTAGCTTTTAAACCCAAAGTAGCTCAACTAGGTGCTGCCACCTGCTGTGACAAAATATTTAAAGATATTTCTTTATTTGTTCTACAAATATGCAGATCATTAAAATGCTGTTTTGCTATGTAAATTTAATGGTTCACTACTTTGTATTTCCTTCTTAAGGAACTCTAACAATAATATAAAATGCAGTCTGGATGCAAACAGATATCTTCTATATTCCATGATTTCATGGATATATTCTATCTTACAATTTCTAAAATATATTTTAACATATTTTCTAATACAGACATGCTTCCCTTTTCATCAGAAAGCAACTGTATCTTCTCCACCATTGTTAATGGTAAATTTTATTAAATTTATATGCCATCCATTTTCGAAAGTGACTCTAATACTAGCCAATCTCCCCCCCCCAATCCTAAGAATATTTACCACCTGAGGGCCATTCATGTCCTCTGTAACTCTGAGACAATTCCTAGAATTGCTCAATGCTAATATCACTCTAAATTATAGTTAAACAAACACAGTTTATCTGCTGGTCTGCTCAATAAACACTCCTTCTTCTAATCCATCTAACCCATCCTCACACTTTCAAAAGCAAGCAGCATTTTCTACTACAGAATGAGCATTTGAAGTATTTTAATCTGGAGGTTTCCTATATGCGCTTTCATCAACAGCCATTAATAATCTTCCTTCATATTTTTATTAGTTTAAACCCATTTTCATATTTTAAATAGCAGCAAATTCCATAAATCTATTATGAATTTACTTTTTAATACATTACTTATTTTTCTTTATTTGTTGGTTCTTTATTTTCCTTGAGGAAAGTACTCCTTAAATTAGCCTTTTCTTATCTCTTTCCAACTTTATGGAGTCATTTTGGAGGTAGAGCAATAGCAGCAGCATGTTTATAGTTGACAATTAAGCTGTACCCAAGATATAGTCCAACATAAAACAATACTGGAAGTTTTCATGACCTTTCCAAATAATCAATAGGATGGAACCTGTTTTCCATAGCTCTGCACTGTGAGTGTACTGCAACACGCAATACTTCTTCAGAACCTCACAACTCTGAAATTTTCCAACACCATATGTATTTTAATTTTACAATGGTCTTTTAGACAGATTATCTTTCTATCTCAATTTTTCTTTCTTTTTCATCCATACAGACAGACATGTACAGTCCTACCTGTAATTTTATCTCGAACCAGTTTGCATGATTCAATCTCTCCAATGCTTCCAAAGAGGCTCTTGAATTCCTCTTGTGTCATGTTCTGGGGCAAGTAGTTGACTATGAGGTTAGTTTTGGAATCATCGGTGGCCCCATTGGCACTGATCAGTGGCCCATTGGGGAGGGAACTGTTGCTTGTGGGGCCGTTGGACACCTGGGTCTCCATTGTGCTGATTATCTGCTGAAAACAAGAGGGAGGAGGGAAAGGTGTTACGGTTATGAAAGATGGGAGGCAAACCCAGCAGCTTGTATGACATTGCTTATTTGCAACCTAAGAGCTGTTGGAATGGGACAGGCTTATATTTGTTTGAGAATTATGGTTTCAAAGAGGTTACGTCAATGTAGTATATAAAAAGATTTCTTCTGTGAGTGACCATGATACAGACCTCTCGTGTAGATTTTATGCAATGATGAAACAGAAACAAATGGAGAAGAGAGAGAGAAATGAAGTGCCAGAAATCATATGATGGTCCCACTTTGTTCACACTAGTCTACTATTTCTATGTGATGGAGCTCCCAAAAAATTACTCCTACAAGAACACTGTGCTCAAGCAGAATAAATATTGCCCTCCGCTGAACAAACTTACCTAAACTCAGAGTCTAAGAAAGAGCATTGCTAATATTTGGGTGGTGGATTGACGAAGAAAATCAGTAGGATAGATGAAGAAAAGTTGGAAAAACATCCCCATACCACCTTTGCAGTTTTGCCAAAAAGCGGTATGTGGATATATGCATGAAATCACCAGGACTTGTATTTGATCTGAAGATTTTAAACTACTTTCATTTATTTTGTCACCATACTTTTCCATGCATAAAAAAATTCCTTAAGCATATATTACTTCAAATGCCTGTTTACCATTTATTTATAGTGCATGTGGTGGGAGGGTGCGGGAAATTCAGAACCTCCCAATAAGTTGGAATCAGAATCAGAATAGAGCTAGAAGGGACTCTGGAGGTCTTCTAGTCCAGCCCCCTGCTCAAGCAGGAGATCCTATACTATTTCAGACAAATGGGTGTCCAGTCTCTTCTTAAAAACCTTCAGTGATGATGCACCCACAATGTCTGAAGGCAAATTATTCCACTGGTTAATTGTTCTCACTGTTAGGAAATTTCTCCTTAATTTCAGGTTACTTCTCTCTTTGATTAGTTTCCATCCATTGTTTCTTGTCCTGCCCTCTGGTGCTTTGGAAAATAAATTGACCCCCTCCTCTTTGTGGCAGCCTCTCAAATACTGAAATACTGCTATCATGTCCCCCTCTCGTCCTTTTTTTCTCGAGACTAGTCAAACCCAAATCCTGTAACTGTTCATGTTTTAGTCTCCAGGCCTTTAATCATCTTAGTTGCTCTTCTTTGTACTTTTTCCAAAGTCTCAACATCTTTTTTGTAATGTGAGGACCAGAATTTTACCTAATGTGTACTTGCACCTTTTTTCCTGCCCAGGTGTAAAACCTTGCTTTTCTCCAAATTTCATTTTGTTGGATAAGGCCCATTTTTCAAGTCTGCCAAGATCTTTTTGGATCCTGAGCTTGTCTTCTGGGGCGTTGGCTATTCCTGCCAGCTTAGTATCATTTGCAATTACTGATCAGTGCTTCTCTAGGCAACACAACCCCCCCCCCTTACAATGGTTCTAATCCATTTCATTCCATGGACATTTATTGGTGATTGACAAAAAGCCTCTGTACCAACCTTCCATTTTTCTATGCTTTCCTGCAGGCTGCCCTTCAGTAAGGAGAATGCTGATTCCCTCTTAAACTATTGATCAGGCACATTGATTCTGCCATTACACTCCAGCCTCAGGCCAGGAGTGAATATCACCAAAGAAAAATGCATCACTAATTTGCTGGGCCTGCCAATAATCTCCTTACAAAGATGGTTGAGGATAAGGCATTCTTTTTTCACTATATGGTATTTACTAGGCTTTGGAAATTTAAATTTGTACATAAAGATAATTTTTATTTGGTTGAGTGAGGTTCCATATTTATCCTCTACTTCACAGAAATAAATAAATAATGTTTCTAAAAACCATCATTCAAGAGCCATATTACATTCTAACATAAAGACTAACCAAGATTATGTCACCCCAAAATACCAGAATGCTGCAACATGACCTAGTTGTTGCAACTTGCCAATACTTAATTTGCAAAAAGTGGCATGTTTGGGTCACATGTTGAAAACCTTAGGAATTCAGGTAAAAATATAATCTGTAAAGTGATCTAAATACAAAAGGTAGCTATGAAATAACTAAAAAGAGATGACCAGTTTGGGCAACAGTCAAGATAGGCAATTTCAGAACAAAGCAGGGAACAGGGGAGCAGATACAGATCAATATTAAGTCTGCAATTCTATTCACATTTATTCAGAGGCTCTGACGATGATTTGTGAAATGTCTAATTTTATGCTGAACACCTATTATGTTGCAAAGATTATTAACAAATTTCATGGGCATATGTTAAGCCTACTGACAGGAGCAGTTTCATACACCCTCTAATTTATATACACAATTTGTACATTATAGTTGCAATCGCTGTACCAAGTCCATGTGAACTTTGGTTATATACAGTCTCCAGGCAAGCCTCCCCAAACCAAGATACAAAATCATGTTATCAGAAGCATTACAATATATCCTGTCAATTTATTGCCATGCCACTTTTTAATCTGTTAAAAAAATACAATTTAAAATGTTTTAGTTTTCCAGGACTGTTGTGTGACTTATATTTCAAGTTGGTTTCCTACTCCCAAACTGCCATTCTCTTGAAGTTGGCATAAACATCAGTAAGAACACCAGCTGTAGTGCTTATTTTTTAAAAAAACAATCTCCTTGATTTACTGATGTTTTGTTAACTTCTTTTATTAACTTTAACAAATTTAGAATGTCTTAATAGACTGGCAAATTTGTTTTCTCATATTTAATAAATTTATTATATTAGCCAAATTTTATTTTATAAGCAACAGTCAGTAAAATAATAGTTAATTAAGCACAGAAGCTTTAGATCCTCAAGCACACATGGGAAGCTTACCAAAAACAAGAAGCAAATGCTCAGCCACTGCCTCTGAAGAAAAGCAAGGTTGGGCTGAACAGCATCACCCCACTGCCTGCTATTTTGTAATGGTTCTCTGATTATTTTGTTTAAAGTACTTGTAAGACAACTTCAGTTCATCCTGCAGCCCAAAAGGTCTACCAGACAATGGTTCTATTATGTTAGCTAACCACCCTCTGGTGATAAAAAGTCTTCTGCATTGGTGATTTCTTGCTGGGTTGATAACTAAAGGAATTTAAATTCTCAGGCTAGAGACCATCCTGGCTCAAACATCAAACAACCCACTAACCATGGTTGAAAATGACCAGAATGAACCTCAGAGAACTTGGGTTTCCCTAATTAGACCCCTCCCTTTTACAAGGACCTTTTTATGTGAAAGATGAACAGAGGCTGAGATGAAGAATGCTACTACAAATAACATTAGCAATAGCTTGCTAAATAAGCAGTAATTTAAACACTGGGAGCCCTTGCTTCTGAATTTTCTGCAACCATACCGGTGACAGAAAATGAAGGGCAGCTCTGAAACCCAAAGCAAGTCAAGACTCAGTTGTTCTTGTGGCAAATTCCTTAGAGAATCAATGCTAAATTGCCTTCCTTTCTAGTCTCTTGAAAAGGCTCCTCAGTTACAGACTGGAGCCCTTGAAGGAAAAGCTACATCCATTCTGAAATGCCCTTTTGATTTTTAAAATAATTGATTTTCAACTTGGCATTCAAGGAACTGCCAATCTTCTCAGTCTCCTTAAAAGCCGCTAACTGAATCGCATTCTCATGTCAGCACTCTTTTAACCAGATCTTAGCCAGTTAAGTCCAGGAACTGTGTAGAACCAAAATTAGCTCAAGCTTTTTTGGTTTTTCTAGATACGATGTGCCAAGGAAGAAACTTGGTTTCTTGTTATCAAGTAAATTAAAAGTGGCAGACTAAGAAGAATTGGGTTTACAATGCCAGCTTTTAAAGAGCACTCCAAGTAAAGACTCCCATTTTAGACAAAATTGTTAAGCGATTTCTGGCTTATTTATCCACTTCAGATGGTAGAAAGAAACTGAACAGAGTGCATGTGCTGGGACACAATACAGAAAACCCAAATGCTCAGAATCTTGTCTCACGCTGTTCCATATGAATAGGTTCAGCATGATTGACTTCATGGCCACGGCATCTAGACAACCTTGGCTAAACTTAAGCAAGGCAAAAACTTAATTATTGCTTAAATGGAGGGCACCAAGTCACTCCCAGACTATAGGCTAGACTGGCAAATTAGAAAAAACATCCTGCAAGCAATGCAAATGGTTTCATATTGCTGCCCCTAAAATTACATGTGAACATGCCTGAGTAGTCACTATGACTCAAGACTGACTTGGAGTCTTTCTCCTAAGTGTTTTAGAATACAGGGTTAGTTATAATCAGTAATTAAATGGTAGATTATCTTAGTCAAGATCACATTGCACATCTACTTAAATAAGACTTATTTTCAAGTTCTATAATTTCTGCCAGTCTATGCTGCACCAACTAACATATATCAGAATCTAAACTTTTCCAGGTCTCACTGAACACAACAGAATGCCAACTGCTCCTCAACAGAGACAAGTACTCTGTGCCTTTTCTGTGTTCTGCCCCTGCCTTACAGAATACTTTGTCCCCCTCCCCGGAAGTTCAGCAGGCCTCCACCCTGTGAGCCTTCCATAAGGTGTTGAAGATCTGGGTTTCCCCCCCCCCCTCCAAGCACTGGGAGATAATTAGCTGATAGCATGTTAACACAGATTGGTACTGGATTTTTTTGTTTTAATGTTTTATGTTTTAACTAGTCAAGTGTTAGTTTTTAAAATACTTTAATATGCCTTTTCATTTTTGCTTGGGAGGTGCCCAGAGTTGATTGAAAGATGGACAGATATATAAATGTTTTAAATCAATCAATCAATAAAATTAAGTAATTTAATACAATAAATTTCATAATCAGACAATGGCAAAGATTGTAAAGTCTAATCTGTATTTAATATGTGAGAGCAATAGGAAGATAAAAGGTAAAATGGAAAGAGAATGGAGTTGAGCGTAGCAACTTCCTTGAAAACTTTGCAAATTCAGTTGCAACCTATTTGAACCAACAAACATAGGGGTGAAAGTACTATATACCAATAGTACATCCGTCTTTGTTACCTCTTGTTGCCTCAGAGATGGTAGTTCC